CGCGTGGCTGCGCGCACTGACCCCCGGCGGCCGCCGTCGCCGCCGGGCGCCCCGGGGAGGCCCCGCGCGGGCCGGCACCCTCGAGGGCTTGGGAACGTCCTTTTGTTGTCGTTATTGTTTGCTAGTTTGGTTGTTTGCTTGTGTCTAACCGTGCGCTTCCACAGCGAGGGCGGTTGAGGCCGTTGCCCTTTGTCTCCGGCGCGGGGCCCTCCGTGCGGGCGAAGCGGCCGCCGTTGCCTCATGGCGCCTTGGCGGGGCCGCGCAGCGCCGGCCGCCCCGCGCCGAGACTTGTTCCCTCAGCGCCTTCCCGCTCCCGAGGAGCGTCCCGAGCGGGAGCGCGGCGCGCCCCCGTTATCGCGGGGTGTCGGGGTGAGCGGAGCTGTCGGGCGGGGACGGGAGGCCGCGGGGAGCCACCCCGCTGGGCGAGCTCGAGGGAGATAAAATTACCAAAACAGAAGCTATATATATGCATATATATTCTGCATATATATATATATATGCTGGTCTGGGAGCCTCTGCTATTGTCTCTGGTAAAATCGGGATAAGAAACTTCCCAGGTATTTGAAGAGATAAATACTGAGTTCCTAACTGCCTAGGAGAAGTGTACGTACACAGAATTTAAAGCGTTCCAGTGAATAAATGGAAGGCTGTTGGCAGTTACAAGCAAATGACATTTTTTTCCTAACTCTTTACAAATGAGTTTTGCGTTCCTGTCAGTCTAGTAAAATGCAGCGCCTCCCTCCTCAGTTACAGCTACTAAAACACGATTGTTATGTTAGCTCCATAACGTGATTTTTATTAAAAAAAACCCTTTTATTTTCTTATTATGCTTATTTTAGTGAGGTTTTTTTTTAAGGATGTAATATCCGTTTCTYTTAACTCACAAGCAATGCAATTTCTGTTATTTAGTTTGGCTGCAAATTGGTGTTGTGCAATTAAACAAAGAAAATTACATTTTAAGTTAATAGGYTGATTACACTTCATGCATTTCCTATTGCTTTTGATGCTGCGTTCTAAGGTGCTGTGGTCTTAGTTTCCTTTTGTTGTTGCCTAAGCTGGAGGAAAAATATAGATACCTTTTAACTACAGACTGCAAAAACTTAATGCCTAAATAATCTCCCCTATTGTCTTAAAATACTCCAAATTTGTGGCTCAGAGCTAGAGCTGACTTTTCCAGAAAAGGAGAATAAGTGAAGACCCGATGCAGGAAGCGTCCTGGCTGCCACGTGACCTGCCAGCGATAACTACACACCGATAACCAAACCCAACCAAATACCTCTCAGCGTGAGCTCTGCCTTCAAACTGCCGGGCTATTTTTAACACTTTCTTGGGTATCTGTGATTTGAGGGCCTGGAAGTGTCATGCTGAGTGATGCATGTTGATTAAGTGCTTTTTCCCTTCTCTTTCCCCCTCCTAAAATGCTCTGAATTGTAGCAGCAACTTTGTAAGGTAGCACGGAGGCACTTTGGAATACTTTTGGGAGACACCTCACACTGCATCAGGGAATTTTGTTGTATTTGAGGCTAATGTYTGAAAGATTTGATTAGAGGAGCTTGTGCTCCAGCCCACGTTGCTGATCTGGCCTTACTTCCCCATGAGGATCCTAGAATATTTATAGGGTTGTGTGATGAAAGAAGACTCTTAAAAGCAATAAGAGGATTCAGTGATGACAAATGACTGATCCAATATCAACACTTGGCTCCAAATTACAGAGTAGCAATTTTTGTTTGTTCTGAGATGCTTCTAGAACTGCTGCTATTGCGAGCATATACTTTGGAGGTCTGGGAGTTGGAGCACCTCTCTTTGGAGGGTGGCATGCTTTCCCCTGAGGACTTAATCCTATTAAGTGTGCTTTGTACAGTAAGTGATGCTAAAAGCTGCGTGAGTTTGATTTGAGGAGTTTCAAAGCTGTGAAGAAGAGCACAGAAATACCTATGTGGGAAGTCCAGATTTTTTTTGTTAATATTATTTTGTTATTGTTGTAATTAGGCATTTGAAAGGAGATAAATATGTGAAGCAGAAATTACACAGAAACTGAAAATTCCTTTTAATCGGTGCTCTCAYGTGAGATATTCCATGCAGATGTCTGCTGCTTCCAATTAGAGTGCAGTGGTTCTGTGTGCTTTAATTTCTGCAACTTCTGCTGAAGTTGGAAGTAGACGAGCTGGAAGCGCTGGCAGGAATGCCAGGTGTCACAGCCTGGGTCGGTGGAGTTGTGTGATGTGCCACACCTTGGGTGCCGTTGTGCAAATCATGTAATTACGAGAARTGCCCTGGAACAGCTCAGATGTGGTATTTCCCAATAGTTTTTCATAGACTCATGAAACCACGGGGAGCCKTGCCTCACCTGAACAGCATCGCAATCTCGTGAGCACACCTGTGTGAGTCTCTAAAGAGTCTTGCCAACTTTTTTGCTGTGTGGTTGAGGTGAATTCTTTGATTGTTTAGTGTAGAATTCTGTTTATTGCTTTTAGAAGTGCAAAGGTACTGATAAGACTGTGTCTGCTTGGATGGAGCGGTGGTTTTTTGTTTTTGCTTTTTTAAGAAATCATTCTTCCAAATTAAACTTCCGTGTTTCAGATCATTGACTGTTAAATATGTATATATTTTCTTAAATAGCATAGKTAGGTATTGTAGAGGTGTTTTAGCTGCAGAGTGATATTTTCTGCAGAAGCTAAATATATCTGCCTAACATCTGTTTTTTCCATTGTAACTTCTGTTGAGCTCTGATTTCACAGTTGGTCATAAATGTAAGTTGTGGTGCTTGCAAATGACCCTGGGTCCACTAGGAAAGGATAAGAGCACTAGGAAGCTTTTTCTGTTTCAAGTAATTTCCCAAACGGCATTGCTAGTTCGGAATCACCCAGACCGTCACCGAAGGCTTTGTTTTTATATGAGAGCAAATATTGTGGGCTGAGTGGGGGGCATGTGAAGGGTGAGACTGCGTTGGGTGGTTTCACCTCCCCTCAGCTGAACGCCTTACACTGTTCCCTATTCATTCAGGGAGGTAACAGCGTTCTGCCACGCGGTGCTTTCTGGCACTGCCGTGTTGGGCTGTTGCAATCAGTGCCAGAATAAATACACAGTCGTTGCACAGGTACGCAGGCTTCAGCTTTTTCAGCTTCCCTTTTCATCTCTGTCCTTCCTTACTCTTTTCCATCTTCATGGGTGTTTGTCCTTCCTCTTACTTGTTCCTTTGTATTACCAGGGGTTCTCATTTCCTCTCGCCTTTCATTCCTTACCATAAGGAGAAGGAGAGAGACCTCGCTGAAGCAGGAGAGGTAGCCAGGACCCACTCRCTATGAGCAGCTCTGTCAGCCGCCCCTAGAAGCGGGGTGAGCTCATCGACAGCGTGTGGGTGCAGCGGTTTCTGTGGGTAAACGTTGTTTGTTGCCCTTTATCTGGAAAAGTGAGCTTGCCTGGTAATTACAATGTTTATTCTGAAATTAAAGGAGAAAATGAATATATAAGAATTCCTTCTTTTTTTCAGTCACACAAATTAAATCTCAAAAGTAGAGCGGTCTTTCATGTGTTGCTCTGGGTCATTGCAGTGCAGGAATGTTTGTTAATAACTCTTCAGGCTTTATAGCTTGTTATATCTCCTTAGACTCTTTCCCTAGCTGTCTTTTTAAGTAAAGCCTGTTCGATTTGTTTTGTTAGAGACCTTGTCTTGTTTTCATTAGTACTGTTTTTTTAATGATATTACGATGTATGAACTAAGCATGTCGGCAAGAGTTATTTCCGCCTGTGTGATAGGCAGAGGAAAGTGCAAATATCCTTTTGCAAAATGTGTTTATATGCTCTATCTCTGCTCAACGAAATCACACTCCATCACTAAACTGGAACCTTAGCTAAAGGAAGAGAGAGCTTTAGAGAAGGTAGCCCCGCATTTAATTCATCGACTTTGCTTAGAAACTAGATCTGAATATTCATGGCAACTTTGAAGAACAAAATACGACAGAGGATAAATTTTGCTGCTGACTGATTCAAGTTAACCACGAGAAGCTAAGAGGTTTTTTCGTAATCTAATAAAAACATCAGTGKTTTGAAATAGCTATTGAAAACGCCCTGTGCGGCCCCAGAGCCAGGACAATCAGAGTCATTGTGGAAGGGAGATACCAGAGGCACGCAGGGGTGCAGGGCAGGCTCTTAACTTATCCACTCGAGCACAGTGACTCTGACACAGATTTAGTTCAAATCTCATTACAGCTGGTTTAACTGTAATCAGGATAATAATGTTCACCTGCCTTTCCCAAGCCCTTCCATATCCACATGTGGTAAAACTGAAGGTTGGTGCCTTGTGCTTAGTCTTCCCCCCCACCCTCTGTCCCCTCTCTAGATTAGCTAATTAGCATCTGGGGTTCACAGGGTCAAAGTTTCAGATCCCATGTTGGGATAGAACAAACTCCCAACCATTTCAGATTTGGTCAGTGCCTCTGCTTTTCTTTAATAAGCTGCTAATGCTTTGTTTGTAAGAGGCCCATTTGTTATCTAGGGGAAGAATGTTTAGAGGAAACACGTAATTACAGTAGTCCTTGCAGGAAAGTGCAGTCTAAAAAAATTAGATCTATCAAAGCAGGGTAAAATTTTTATATATTTATTTGTTTCCCATCTTATGAGAAGGCTTTTTAAACTGTAGATGGCATGGTGAATACACATAGCATTCAGCATTCTTAACTGGTTTGTCAAAACAGTCTTTTTATTTACTTCCTGTTGGAATATCTGTTCAGTTTGGGGTYTTGTAAATGTAATTTGAGATTTCTTAGATTTTATTGAGCATTTGAGTCTAATCCCACTACCCACCGGCAGCTTAGCCAAGGAAGGTGATTTTTTGGGAGCCTA